ATACATTATATATGTATATAGATTATTGCTGTTTTGAAATAAGTTCTTAAACATATTTTTCCTAAAACATAGAATAGTACATAAAAAAAATTATATCTTCTAGTTATGACCTTTGTACTTGGTTGCTGCTTGACATAGGTTGCTAAGCTTTTAAAAGTTTTGCACGTGAAGGATATGAAACCAAATATTTTTTTAGGTTTTATATATCCATTTCAATAACTAAAAAATCATTAGTTACTACATTAATACCATAAAATTCCACTATAATTTATAAAGCTTAGTAACTAAGATGTATTTTACTCTAAAAAAAAATATGAAATTTTTAGCAAACTAAAGACAATCTACCTCATTGAAATTTTGATTTAAAAAAAGAAATGATGCTAGGTATGTTAGAAAGGCTTAGAAAACCACTAGAGGGACATTCTGAGCTTCCAATTAGTTATTCATATCATATATAGAAGTAAGTGTTTATAAGTGAGCATTTCCAAAAATGGAAGGAGGTGAGTGGGGTGCCACTAAGTTTGATTTATTACGTGAGCAATATCTTAGCAAATACAAAAGATAAGATCTTATTTTATATTCTAGCTTGTCAATATCAGTAATTTGAGTTTCTAATTCGTTCGAAACTATAGACTCAGTATTTTGACTTCACAAACATCTAATTTGAACAAGTGCTGCATTCATCATACCATGTGACACACAAAAATTGATGTTTATGTGCATTTTTTTTAATATTTGCTTTTAAATTAAGAAATTGAGTAATATACAGTACTAAATTTGAATTATAATCTACAGTTTGATATCAAACTTATTGACATAAATTCATGAAATGGTAGTTCAATAAAATTTTGAATGCAAGTCAACAAATGAGATGACATGGCCTTTCACTCATGACCCATCTCGAAAGGGTTAACTGCCAGGGTCATTAAGACTGTCAACATGTTGAGACTCCTCACCAGTACTGAGGATGTACACAGCTGGAATAATGAAGTGTGCTGCACTTGATTGGTTGTTGTGCAGCCAATCAGCCTAGAGAGAACACTGCTTAAGACTATTAGAGCATATGCTACCTAAAAATGGTTCGTGATGTTGAAAAACCATCTTGGTTATACAAAAAATTATATAATTTTAAAATTTAATTATAAGGTGTACTTCTTTTATCATCTTTACACTGCAAAATGGTTAAGTACATTCATTATTAGGTTTATGATACATAGTGCTATATGCATCTACACTGTCACAAGAAATAAACAATTAACTAATGTGCTAAAAAAAAATTGTAAATTATAAAGAAAAGTAACTGTTTTATTATTGTAGTCAATTAAGAATTAGCTGAGAACCATATTACCAATCACAAACATATCACCAATAAAACTCAGCTACAATAAAGGTTTAAGAACTATAGACATAATACACCAAACTGTAAAGTAGAAACTTCCATAGCTTGAAACAATCTTGATGCCATTAGCTATGCCTTTAATCTAAAAGTAAGTAATACAGTCTACAACAAAATAATTCAAATAAAAGATGCATTAAAAGAGATAACCATTTTGTAAAAGAAAAATATGAATCAATTATTTTTTTCCTATGCATTTTTTTAATAGTACTAACTACTTTTCTAAAACATAAGGTACTAAATGCAAGTCTTCAACAGAATCAGCAGCTATGAAAGGCTCTCTTTACAGTACTTTATAATAAAACATTTCAAAAGCAAGTATTGATTTTTTTGGCAGGTTTAACACAGTTCCGAAAATTCTCTTGACAAATTCTTATAATAAGCATTTCAGTTTTAAGAAATATTTCCATTACTGCATGATGTTCATTACAAACTGTGATAAAAAATATTTACACATTTTTATAAGACTGAGAAGAATGCATATTATAGTCTACAATGAAAAAAGGTTTCATACTTTAGCTGATTTTTCCACTTCCACTAAACACATACGACAGTTTCCAGCTACAGACAACCTTTCATGATAGCAAAATCTTGGGATTTCAACACCTGCAACTGCTGCAGCCTGAGAAACATGTGAAAAAAGTAAATATTTTGTCACTCTTACTTGTATACATTTCTATATTTTCATACAGTCATAATGTTTTAACTATTAAAGAAATAAAGCAAACATAATAATATAATTGGGAATATATTTAAAACACTGGTCAGTTAGTTATATAACAAATCATAAATTTTAACTTGGTTAAAACCTTATTAATTTATTTATTTTTTGCAGAAATACAAAATGTTCAAACCATATACAATTAATGTTCAATTTCTTTCCACCCAAGAAAAAAGTAAATTCACTTAAAACATGTTTTGAATTATCAGAGGGCATACAATTCTACCAAAATAATGCTACTCATATTTAATGTTAAAGGTACAATTAAATCTAAATTTGGGACAACTGTTCTTCAGGTTAGGAGATTGAAATGCTTGTAGATATTTAGGAGTTTAGTCATTTATAACTTATATGATGTAAAAATGCACATAGATCTGTATTTATTGGTGATTTTTTAGCTTTAGACTGGAATTTTTATTAGTTCAATGACTTAAAAAATGTGCTGTATGAAATTGATTGGTTCAACCAATACTGGTTTATCATCAATAAATACTTCAATCTTTTCAGGCTGCTGTTGTCCTGTTGATGTGCATCGTGCTATAAGAGAAGTTAACAATCAAAATAAAAAATATATATATTTTGTGTTTTTCAAGACTTCCAGCTGTTGCTTGCTTCACAAACTCGTAGTCCTTTAAGTACTTTGTAAAAACAGACTCAAATATATTAAGTATCCCACTTAATTTGTAGAAAATTAAATATTCCATACAGAAACAAGGTGGTACATTTTATCAGTTTATAATTTTCTGTACTTGCATGTAAAAGAATCTGTACAACAATCACTCAGATATAACCACTTTAGATACTTCGTACAGGTGCACTTCCACATTTGTGGTTGTTAGTGAAACAAAATCATTTGCTTTCATTGAAATAAAGAAAAAGATGATACTGAAATTTTTAAGTATCACAAATCTTTCTCAATGTTTTCATAATTAAGTCTACATTTTATTAAAATGTAACTTTTATAATATAATTTTTTTATTGGGAAAATATATTCAAATGAATACTTGGAACTTATTATAAAGAAAACTTTGAATACCTATTTAGTCATCATTTGCATTTTGAAATACTAATCCATGTTATATTTGTCTATACAGTTCAATTTCTTATTATAATTGTTTATGAAAATTACATAATAAAAGTTTATGATAAAATGCATATTAATAATATTATTGTCACTTAGTCTTCTAAATAGAACAAATCTGTGGTGACTTCTTCCTATTCAATTTTTAAGAATATTCATATAAAATTCTAGTGCACCCCCACCCAAAACAAAAGACAACATCTTGAACAATTTATAATAATCCTGATTTTTTCAGCAATTAGCAACACAAGAATGCAGTTGATACATTTTATGTTTCTTTAGTTCATAAAAAAAAGATACGAATCTATCCAATAACATAAGACGTATTCACAAAATACTCATCAATATATAAAATTTTACAGGCATGATTTACCCATTTATAATATCAAATTATTATCATTAATATTTACTTCTACTGTATTGTTCTGCAAGAAGAGGCACAAGCTTAGTTAACAAAAAATAATTACATACAAACACTATAAATATCACTCAGATAAAAGTACAATCTTTAAAAATGGTTATTCTATGGTCATATATATATGGGGGTACAAACAAAATGTTGAAAACATTGTAGGTCATTTCTCCAAGTTCATCCAGTAAACATGGTAGGCCCAAAAAGTTTCAGTCTGAATGGCACAGTAAATTCAATGTCTTATCATTGATAAGAATGTGGAAAGCTATGTAAATTTTGTGTTGATGCTGCCAGTCATGGAAAACCAGACCAACCTCATATCCAAAAAGTAAGTGGGGGAACACTACATTAACACCACGTGATTGATTAAAATTTACTTGGCTGGAGCTAAAAAAAGTCATGTCATCTCAATAAGCTAGTATTCTGGCTCACTTATTAACAGAGCTAAGTGACTCAGTCAGCATGGTCTCCAAGTTCAGTGCTCTCAATAGTTTCCATAGTTCTTTTTGCTACTCACAATAATAAAATCAATGAGAAAACATGATTATTCATTAACAGTTACAGTAGAAAGACTAGGATAATTCAAAAGCTATTTTTGTACCTGTGGAACATTTGAAATATGCAGCAGCTTCAGAGTATGGGACAGTTTCTAACTGTGATAACGAAGGCCTTATTAATTATTGCATAATTGCCTAAACACCTGTTGATTATAAACAGAATGAATAAGCTAAAACTAGAACACTACACAAACGTAATTATACAAATATCTTTGGCTTTAATATTTGTGGATGAATAAGAGAATATGAATATTTTTCTTATGTAATGGCTATTTTGTGTGTGTGTGCAATGTAGGTACAGCTACAATTTTTGCACTTAAATGATTACCTTTATACATAATTCATGTACAGATATGCGTAATGGAAACCACTGTGTGCATATATATATATATTTCTCAATTAGGCTTGTAAAAAAACCTTATATTTTTATAAATTGTCTTCTAGTTTGTACCATTAATCTTTCACTAATACCTGGGTTTTTTATAGAATGACCAAGTGTTCTCTTCAAAATTTGTTGAATGGGTGTCCGAAACATGGCTTCCTAAAAAGGAAATAAAAATAATATTGTTTTTAACTGAATGGTTATATATGTAGTATATCAAACTAAGGTCCAATTTGAAGTTACAAGCAGAAGTTACTTGAAATAAAATATAAAATTATCTATGTGAAAAGTTCTTTATATAAAAAAACTGGTTAAAAGTAAACACTTTCAAAACACAAAGCATGCAAAATTAATTAAAATATCAGGACATTTTTAAAATTGTTAAAAAAATTCACAAAATAAGAAAAGAGAAAAACATATAAATGGGTGTTGAAGCTTCAAATACAACATTTTCATATACCAGCCTTTTCAATTTTCTTACCCTTTTGTCTCAAAACAAGTCAGTCTAGATTCTAATAATATAAGTTAATGGCTTAGTTTGTATCTAGTATCATTAGTATACTGTACTATAGTAGTAACTAAAATTTTTGTTGTTAGTCCAATATTCAGGCTTGAATCTAGATATGCTTTTATTTTTTTATAAAAATTTTTATTTGCTATTATAAATAAGTTAAGAGAAAAACTGTATAACGGTACGTCTAGATCTTGAACTAACACAACAAAGTAAACAAATGTACAAGAGGTTCCCATTTACAACTTAGCCAAAGACAGAAACTTGTCCAATAATATACCATAAAAGAAAACCAAATTAGATGCACCAGATGGATATTACTTGTTAATTAAACAATAGAAATGGCATGGACTCAGTGAGTGTACTTCGATGTTCAAAAAGCTTTCGATAAAGTACCATCTAAAAAATTAGCTACGAAAATCACATATTGTCTTACTAATCCATTATTTTTCTTAAAAGGATCCTACTTATTATGGGACAATGGAAATGGTGTGAACTTAGTGTTATTCTATATCCAAAAAGCTTTCGATAAAGTACCATCTAAAAAATTAGCTACAAAAATCACATCAGTAAGGGTTGGGAGAAAACTAGTTAATTGGACTGTAGAGTAGTTGGATGGGAAAAAGCAAAAGGTTGTTATTAATGAATCTCCACAAACTGGACCCTTGTTACTAAGTGATGTAATGGTCAGTTCTTACCTTTTTACTTTTTTTTTATTTACATTAATGATATTGATAGAAGCATAACTAGTTCATTTACAATATTAAACTCTCAGGTATTTCTAACTATATTTAGGACACTTAGGAATTACATAATGACTTGGATCAAATGTACCTGTGCCAAATATTTGACAGGTGAAAATGCTACCTACATAGATTGAAACTAAAAGTCAATATGGCAATGAGCATAGCAAAATAAGTATACTTTTCTTATGTTTTTGCTTATAAACATTAGAATGCATCATTTCATCAGTTCAATGTGAACAATATTTATGGCCGTAAATCCAGTATCAAAAATTTCGAGCAGTTTAGGAGATTCAGGCTAGTCTTAAGTACATTTGTACAATGCAAGATAATCTCTAATAAAAGTATAGTAATAAAAATTTTAATTTACCCACATTTTATATATTAAACATTTTAACCAATACTGCTAATGAAAGTAACAATAATAGCGTAGATAACTCATTTTGGTTATCATAACTTGGTTCACATGTTTAATACAGATTGAAAGCCACTCAATACAATAGCAAACTGACAGAAAAAAATATTGGCCTAGTGGTGGATAAGTCACTCATCCAAGCAGTGCTGCATTACTAGTACTTGCAGTAGTAAAGTTAATATAATTTTAGGGTGTATTTACAAATTACAGACATACTGATTGCAAATGCAAGTCAAGATAGGTAATTATCTATCTATACAAATTAGTAGGCTTCACTTGTATTATACTGTGTACAGCTTTGGTCGTCTTGTCCAAGTTCTTAGAAAAGATATGAACTTATTTTTAAAAATTTCAGGGGGGGGGGGGTGATAAAAATAATATGATTCCAGGAATGGAAGGGTTTTACTTTTAGGGAAAGGAAAAGTTTTTATTTCTCTTGAGAAAAAAAAAAAGCTAATAGTAATAGGTAATCTTACTGAAGTCTATTAAAATTATGTGGCATATTTATAGGACAGAGGCTTCTGACTTATTTATGTCAAAACCTGAAGATAGTACTACTATAGGCTTAAATTTTAATTTTATAAAGAGCGGGTGGGTAAGAACAGCTTCGAAGTAATATAGTCCCTTGTTGTGATTATGTGATTATACGGTAGTACTAGTACTAGAGCCTAAGTCAAATTAGACATAATCCAGTCTCATTACTTAAGACAAGATATTCAAAATTTTGCTTTTTAGCACTCTTGCGAATGTTCTTCTTCAAGATTATTGAAAACATATAGTGACAGTGTTCTGGAAGAAGTGTGACACCTTAATAACACTTAGAGTAATACTATTAATAAGGAAAACCACAATAAACTTACCAAATGGCAAAGTGCGATAAACTCCTCACTTCGACCTCTGCAGTTTACATTTTCTTAATTGGGGGCGCTGAAAGATGTTTTTTGTAAAACTTAATATCAACTGCTGAATAATATTATTATCACAAACATTTAGCTATTACTCAAAAATTGAGGTGTTATTTATTCAAGCTTGAGGTAGCGGCAACATTTACTAAAAGTTTGAAAACAAAATTTGGTGAGCCAATCAATTGTCCACTTTTTCAAGTCTGAATTATATAATATTCTCTTTGAAAACATAAATAATTCAAGAATAAATCAGTGTATTATGATGTTCTTTTTAAATGAAATATGTATTGTGAAATTTTCAAGTAAAAATTGCCGTTTTCCCGACAATTATCAGATAGAAATGTCCGCAAATAACTACAGGTTCTTTCAGGAAATGAGGATAGTGCTTCTGATTAGATAGCTTATTTAACTTTGTCTTTCTAGTGTGTATTTAAAATAATAACAATAAAATGATAACAATTTGGTAAAAATGAAAACAAAGTTTATAATATATTACATAAACAAAAAATGCATCGTGTGGACTTGAGCACACAAAAAGGCAATCGTTTCTACTAGGCTGTGCTTATTCCCAGAGATTTCATCCATCCTTTCTGATAACACTTTCACGAACTCCGACACAATTTCAGGCAACTCTTCGTAAGGTGGGCGTCCTGTTAACAGATCAACTGGCAACCGAAGTTCCCGACCAAACATCAACTTTCCAGAAGTGTATCCAGTGGTTTCATGCTCTGCTGTCCTATAGGCCATCAACAGTGGAAGGAGTAAGACATCCCAGTCATTTTGGCGGCTATTACAAAACTTTGCCAATTCCTTTCCCAGTGTCCAGTTGTACTTTTCTACCATCCCATCAGACTGTGGGTGAAGTGGCGTTGTCTGGTGTTTCGTATGCCAACAACTTGCAGCATTCATGGAACACAGCTGATTCAAAGCTACGGCCTTGATCTGAATACAGTTCATATGGCATACCAAATCTGAAGAAGAAATCACTAATAGCCGAAGCTACAGTTGTAGCTTCCTGACTTGGTATTGCATATGCCTCAGGCCACTTGGTGAAATAATCCATCACCACACAAATGTACCTGTTTCCAGCACGAGTTTGAGGCAAAGAACCAGCAATGTCAACAGCTACTCTTTCCATTGGTGCGCCAACTTGATATAACTTCATTGGAGCACGTCCCTTATGCTTGAATCTCCTTTTAGCACAACATGTACTGCAGGTCCTGCACCATTCTTCCACATCTTGTCTCATACCTATCCAGTAAAATCTGTGTCGTAGGTGACTCAATGTCTTCATAACTCCAAGATGTCC